ACTGCGTTTGACAGGTGTCCGTTTTATACTTCCATGATGTCACAGTTAGAAGAGAACATTAATGCGGAAGCGGCTGATCGACTGTATTCCACCATTTAACGGTGTAGTCAGTTCGTGATAAAATACTCATTGAAAATTAACGATAAGAGTGTTCATCACGCCGAAAAATAGCCATTTAGATTATAACGACAATTAGCCGTCCAATTCATTACTACATCACTGTTTGAAATAGCCTTGCATATCTAGCCTCTTAGCTTGTGCAACTCTTTTTTTAATGAATATACAGGTATATACTACGTGCTAATGAAAGAATTGACGTCGATCTAATCCTACATTGGTTATTGAATTTCTAAGTGTTCTCGCTTCTTACCACAGACAATGTTTTTGTTTCCAATTCCCATACTGCGGCCTCCAGAAGGAGAATTTCTCACGACGGGAAAGTTACTTGATCCAAGGGGAAAAAAAGAAAAACTTCCTTCAGGACTCTGTTGATCATTGTGCCGACAACTCGAAGCACTCCCTCATCACGTAATTGAATTTTAGCCTGTGTACACATCGGTTAAAGAGTTTCGTACGGTCGTTTACAGACGTCGTACGGCTTAAAGCCGTTTAGTATAAAGTGACGTAGTAGAAAAGTGGTTAACAGAAAATTCCATTTCCTTACTGCGGCTATGCATTGGGTTTCATGGTACAATATCCGCATTCTTTACGAACAATTATTACTCGTGTTATTTTAGAATTGAAGTTTCAGTTAATGTACGCTGCTGAATGCGACGAACGGGAAATTATATGTGTTTAGTGGCTTTATAGAAATGTTTCATGTAAAACGGAGTTACTCGTGTCATGTCAGTGAAAGATATCTGTGTCATTGTTGATTGTTGATTAGGTGTATGCAGAGCGTCGATGCGATTTAGTGTTTGTTGGAAGCTTCAATGGACGACGAATCGAAGAATAAAATGCTTCAGTGGAATTATGTATGTGGATCGATGGATCTCAAACTTTTTACAGTGTTATTATTCGACTTGATTGTTTTTTTTTCATAATCTGAACGACTCTGATCGCTGGTGCCTAATATAAAATATAGTGCACAAGTGCGAACTAATTATTAACTGTAAAGACTTACGTAAAAGTCTACCACGTGGAAGCTTTACTAATAGAGAGTACGACACCATGATCACGGAATGGGTATGCTTTTGGTTCTCATGCTAATCTAGCTATAGTAATTAACTACGGCTTTCGATTGATATATCAAAATTAATCCAGTGCGCTAAGATTAATGTGTAACTCGTGTAAAGTTTTTAGTGTTTTTTTTTTCTTAATTATTTCGCCAAATTATTTCAGTGCAATTGGCAATTTTTTTAAATATACGTTATATTTATTTTTGGAAATTTCTTGATTCCTGGAATGTCAATAAGTTGCGACAGTTTTTCTAAAAATTCAATATTACCCAATTCATCGTTTTTTCTTTATGATTTATTATCAGTATATTTCATGATCGATGATTTTTCATAGGCTTTTCAAAATCATTTGCTTTCTTGCATCGCTGATTATATATCATACATCCCAATATAAATTCTCCGAGAGTGTGAATAAATTGACGTCAAGCGAGGATTCTATTTTCGATGATATAATTTATATAAATAAATGAAATTGATGGCCAACGGCCTTCGACTGTTTCAGTGTCAATGCTTTTCAAGCAATGTCTCTGTTGACCTGACCCGATTCGATGAAATCTCTTTACTGTTACTTGGCCGCTTAATACTTGGTGTTTACTTTTTGTGGCGCAATTACAAATACCATGCAAAAGCATCCTCTGCTGTCGGTAAACGTCCTTCTGCTTCAGATAATTTTTATAAAGTGTAAAACTAGACGTGAAGTCATTCGCTCGCAACCGCTGCGTCGCTGATCTCACACTCGCCTGTAGATATCGTCCGTCTCATAACGAACAGCTGGAGAGACAAGCGATAAAAAGGAAAACATATATAAATAACAATCGGGACTCGTTAGTGCCAATACGTTTCCACGGTAATGTAAAACTCGTAGATAACTAAATTCTAGTTCACGGTTCGAAACAGTTGCTGTCTGATCAAATATGAGGATATCATTGGAAGTAGTTCGTAATTCAACCAAGTAGCGAGCAGACGAAATTTTTTCAAAATTTTTCCAAGCCATTTATCGCGGTATAATGGTTAAAAAATTTATTTCAATATTCAAATCGCCTTGCAGTTGGGCAACGTGCATTTGCTTTCGAATCCCATTGGTAAGTTACATCTGTTAATTACACAAGTACGTACATACAAAAGTGGCTCGACGAGGACTTTTTCTACTTTTAAATTAATAAGCCTCACGCATTCTAGTAGATTACGAGGTTAACATTGTCTCGCCTAACGTCCCTGATAATATTATCAGCTGTTTGTCGGACTCGAACGACGGAATTTCTATTATTGCCGATTACTTGATTATTCGATAGCTACGCGATTGCATACGTACTGTGAGAGTTGCAAATATAGCCAGTTTGAATAGCCACGCCCGGGTATCATTGCGTCTTGATCGTAATGCACGATTTTCTATTAACCGTATATCAACGATAACCCGAGTATTTGTAAACTCTCTCGTATTCAATTATAATTTTAATCAACGTATGCCGCTATATATTTTTAAACCCCAAGGTAAATGACAGTTCCCGTCGCAATCGATATACTCGAATTTTTCTAAGGGAAAGTACAGTCTATAATCAGACAGACGATCGTCTATACATTGTGTTACCAGTAAGAGATCGACAGGTTACGAAAGTTATTCGTCACTTCTCGACCGCATTGGCTTCTCGTCGAATGTCAATCTGACATAAGTAAACGCTGTAACGTACCGGTGAAACGTGTGAAGTCAATGGCGCAGTCCCAGATGTACGGTGGAAGTACGGAATAGTACTTGAAGGATTTGGAATTCGATTTCGAGAATATTTTATGCTTGCGTCATCCTGAGACAACGGTATGGTTCAACTAGATTATTAATTACAACGTGCTATCGTGAAAATTCTTATTCACTGTACCGTCGCCATCCTCCGGCTATGCGGATGGTGTCGACTATATAATTGAATTACATTTGACTAGCTTGCCTCTCACGTTTCTCGAAACATTTAAAAACGTTTAAAACTAGTTGTCTCTCGGCTTGTATATTATTCCTATAACGATATACCCAAGGTGGAGCACAAGGACGACTATATGCCCAAATGAAATGCTTTATTGTTCTAGTTCGTCGAACGGATGTGGTAGTGTACTATCAGGGACACCCGTTATATCCCCGTGACATATCATGGCTTACGTATCCCGTCGAACTGTCACGATTCCATGAAAAATGATTGTTAACAATTCACGATCCTCGTATCCACGTAATGTTCAGGTGAAAGTGTTAGTGGCTCCTTATGAGTATCTTTCTTGTATATGTTTCTTGTTAATCACTGTTCCTAAGAATGACACGTTCGCCAGTATATACTTATATGCACATATATTTCGGATCTATTGTAGGGTCATTATATAAGGGGTGGATCATTTCAATGGATGAAAAAATATTTTTAATGGTCTGTTCCAATTTTTTCTCTAACCACCTACACCGTCGTGCTCTTATGCCGTACGACAATGGAAGTAGTGCCACAGTTAAATATGCTATTGTTTTCCCAATAAGTCCGACCCGACGAATGCTTTTCGAATGACTAATGATTGTATTTTTTTGTGACCGTATACCTTTATACCACTTCCACTCCCTTGGCATAGGACGTAATAGGCCGTAGGCGAAATTCTTTTCGGCACTCGTTTCATTGCAAGTTCGCATCGCAGTCCGTTAACAAGGAGTATAATAATATCGTGGTGATAAGCTAGTGTGCAGCGACAACAGCATCCGATTGCTCTTGTCTCTTTGCTTCTGGAATGCCAATTTATATGTCGCGGTATGCGGTGTATATCGTGTCAGTACATTTGGACATTTTTTGAGGTAAAATATTTTTTAAATGAATATCGAGGACAAATATTTGTTAGTTTTTAATAATTTATTTTTTATTTTATTATTTCAACAAATTTTTTTAATTCATTTAGGCACATTGTTATGTATCGTGCGATGTCACGAAAATTATTTGTTATTCTGTAATGGTGAGGGGGGGGGGGGTTGATTAATTATTTACAAGGGGTAATTAAAATTCGCAAATTTTCCACAGTCTGATGTCTGTTGTCTTTGGACACGTTTATCATTCTCAAAGTATTTTCATTACACGAATAACCCATGGTAAACGCGATTGCGAGAAATGTCGAGCAAGAATGCGATTACGTAGAAGGAAGTAACGGAAAGACCTTGAATTACCTACTGAGCGAGGCTTTTAATATCGTTGGGCAAATTGCTACGGTGTTTTACGTTCGGCGTCTATCGTCTGACCATAATGCTTTCATGTTGTTTAACGCTCCCTAGATATTTATAGGATCTATTTTTATCATCTATTTTGGGAGTTTATGTCGTTGATACCGTGCCAACGTGATGCGACGAAAATAGAAAGATGGTGTGGGAAAGTATCGCGAAAAGACACTGTTGTTTAATTGTGGCCTTTTTAATTACGTTCCGAATGATAAGGGTCAAAGGGCATGCTTAATCAAGGAAGAGTTATGTACGTAAGAATTGCTGTGAGATCGATAAGAGTTTTGTTTGTAAACAGATTTGTTGAATTCCATGCTGTTGCCTGTGGATCAGTAAAGTGTTTAAGCTGAACTCATTAGTTGCCCCGTACAGTTTTTACCTTGGGTTATGCATTGTCGAAGTACGCGACATAACAGTAAGGCAAATGCATGCATATAACATAGGGCTACGAGCAAATTAGAAATCATAACATTCGCATTCAGTATACGAATTCGATTGAGCAATGCCACGGAGAGCCTAAGAGTTCACTGACACTGTGTGTATAGTTTTTAAAAATTATGAATCTTACATGTTCATAAAAATGTCGATTCTTTTCGTTTTAGCTGGACACATGGTTCGGTCGGCCGAAAAAATCGGGTCGTGGGGGTGGGGTCAGAGGTGGCACTGGCCACAACACTATCCCCCGCCCCCACTCTGGTGATGACTTCAATGAAATCGAACAGCAGGCATCCATCATTGAGAATATGGACGAGGAGACTATGAATGATAAGTTTGAAGAGATGCTGGTACGTACATTTTTTTTTGATACTGGGTCATTACGTTTTATGATGGTAATGTTGTTCTTCGTCTTTTTAAATTTAATTGTTGTTTTTTTCTTTCCTTCAGGCAAACATGAACTTAACAGAAGAGAAAAAGGAACCGTTGCGACAGCAACCGGAGGAAAAGAAGAGAGCGATGCTAGTCCTGCACTTTAAAGGCACCGTACAAGAAAACAAATCGAAGTTTGACAAACCGGCGGATTACATACAGTACCTGGCTCAACCTGATCTGAGCGTTAATAAAATCTACAATTGCATCGAATCTCTCAGGATTGCGCTCACGAATAATCCATTGAGTTGGGTTCAAGAATTTGGGACGAAAGGTCTTAAACAAGTTCTCGCCACACTTAACGAATGCTATCGAAAGTGAGTTTTTGTGTTTTTACTAGTAGATAACGTTAATCTGGATAAGCGCTATGAGATACTTTTAGGAATTATATCACATAATTCGATTCGAACACGATTCAATTGTGACACGGAGATATGAATGGTGCTATGCAATTGAAAATATAATACGCATCGGAAAACTAATTCTAATATTGTTCTATTGCAGTGCCTTCATATGTTACGATAGGTAACTGACAAATGTTTAATACTAGTTAGTGTTCTTCATTACGTTGAGTTGCGGCATATTTATTTTCATTTCGGCTTTGTGTCTGCATATCTTAGATGAAATCCGTCAAGCAACAGGATTTAAAGCGATAGATCTTTTTTAGTAGAAAACATTTTTATATTCATCCTTTGGTGCTTTAACAGCATAAGCCATTTATATGCACTTTTAGATTAAGTTTGACGTGCAAGTTTTTATTTGAATTTCAGGGAAAAAATGAGGTCTATTAATTATTTGCTTCTATCAGTTTTTAGAATCTGCATATTATGCTTCTTTCAACTGTCGCTCTCTTTTGTCTAACGTGCATTTCTAACGGACTGCATTTTATCTTCACAGCGACAATCGTTACGAACGAATACAGTACGAATGTATTCGTTGCCTAAAAGCTATAATGAACAATACCGTGGGAATAAAGGAGATGCTTGCACATCATGAAGCGCTGACGATAGTGGCAAGATCTTTGGAACCTAGTAAACCGTCAGTAATGCACGAAGCTGTAAAACTTCTTGGTGCGGTCTGCCTTATTTCAAGCGACAGCCACAAAAAAGTTCTGGATGCTATTACCATGAATGGAGAATTCAAGGGAAGAGAGAGGTTCCTACCAATTGTTCAGGGATTAATGAACAAGAAAAATGAGAATTTGAGGGTACGTATATGTAATCATAATAGATTCTAAAGGCTGTATTTGGATACGTTGAGTGAATAAAAATAATCGACCTACTTATTCACTAATATCTATTGGGTTGGCATGAAACTAATGAGACACTAGAAAATTCTACACATGTCTTTTTTTAAATTAATTGTTTTTTTATTGTATATACCCACAGAGCGGAAATATGTAGAATGTTCTACGACATACTAGAATATGGTCAAAAACAATTAATTTAAAAAAGGACATATGTCGAGTTTTCTAGGGTGTCTCATTACTTTGATGCCAACCCAATATGTATTTTTTTTCTTTATTCTATAAAATGCAAATGCTTTTATTTCTGCAGGTGGTATGTCTTCAACTCATCAATTCGATAATCTCATCCGCGGAAGACTTGGACTTCCGGTTGCACCTGCGAAACGAAATAATGCGAGTAGGACTAGCCGATATTCTCGAAACGTTGGAAGGAGACGAGTCTGAAGATTTGTCAACCCACTTGAAAATTTTTAACGACTACAAGGAGGAAGACTACGAGGAGTTTGTACAAAGATTTGATCATGTGAGGTTGGAATTAGATGACGTTAATGACTGTTTCGAAGTGGTGAAGAACATGGTGATGGATACCATGGCCGAGCCTTATTTCCTGTCCATTCTTCAACACCTACTCTTCATCAGAGACGATGCTTTAGTGAGGTCAGCAACACGTTATGTCATCGGTTACAGCAGAAACGCCTACTTCTTGACAAATTTAATAATTCACATGTATTTGTTTGCCTTATTTCAGGCCGGCTTATTATAAATTAATAGAGGAATGCGTGTCGCAAATCGTACTACACCGTTCGGGCTGTGATCCAGATTTTAGTGCAACGAAACGTTTTCAAATAGACGTTCAGCCACTGATCGATACATTAGTTGAAAAATCGAAGGCTGAGGATGACCGTCGCGTTGCAGAAATGACACAGAAATTAGAAGAAGCTATTGCTAGCAAACAGGAAACGGAGGCGAAATTGCAACATGCTGAAAATAAAATCAAAGAATTAGAACAAGGAACTGGTAGATCAGGGAATACGCCAGCTGTAAGTATCTACGGATTATATGATCGTATATCACTAAAAGTCATTCTCCATTATTTGTTTGTTAACGACTGAAAACCTTATCAATATTTTCATAATAGTAATTTCGTATATGAATACCTTCTTTATCGTTAAATAATTGTCTTCCTACAAATTATGGTTATTATGCTATTTCAGAAAGTTGGGGGTGGCCCCCCGCCTCCTCCTTTACCCGGTATGATTGGAGCACCTCCACCGCCTCCAATGCCTGGCATGGGTGGACCACCACCACCCCCCATGCCAGGTATGGGAGGCCCACCACCACCTCCAATGCCAGGAATGGGTGGTCCACCTCCACCACCAATGCCTGGAATGGGGGGTCCTCCGCCACCTCCTATGCCAGGTATGGGTGGTCCACCTCCACCTCCGATGATGGGAGGTCCCAGACCTCCAATGCCTTTAGCGGTTCAAGTGCTACCACACGGATTGAAACCCAAAAAGAAATGGGATTTGGAAGGTCCACTGAAGAGAGCCAATTGGAAGGCAGTAAGTATTTGTATTATATTGAATTAATACCCGAATACAATCGGAAGATAACAAAACCTCCTTCTTATCTTTATGAAATTAGGAAATGAAATTACCTGAAGTTTTGTTCTGCAGATTTTACCGCAAAGGCTCACAGAAAAGTCGTTCTGGGTAAAAGTACAAGAGGATAAACTCGCGAGTCCAGATATCCTCAAAGGTTTAGCTCAACAATTTGCTTCAAAACCATCAGGGCGGAAGATTGATGATGTTGTTGACAAGTGAGTAATTATAAAGTTGTACTCAATTAAAATCTTGTTATCTTACTACTAATTAGATTTTTCAAACTTTTTGCTAATTATTGGATAATACGTTGAGGTTTGTTCATTCCAGGTCTACTGGAACGAAAAAAGTTAAAGATCTTAAAGTTCTTGACGGAAAGGCAGCACAAAACATCTCTATTCTTCTTGGTGGAACACTGAAACACATGTCTTATGAGGAAGTTAAATCTTGCTTATTGAGATGCGAAGGTCCAGTAGTTTCAGATAACGTTTTGCAGGGATTATTACAGTATTTGCCGCCGCCTGATCAACTCACAAAGTTACAGACTTATAAAGAACAGTACGAGGATTTAACTGAAGCTGAACAGTTTTGTGTAACGGTAAATAAAATAATTAAGTATCAAGTAACGATTTTGCAAACGAAACAGTGCATTGTAACTGCTTTTGAATTCAAAAGAATTCAACATTCCTCTCACTGAATTCAACATACTTTTCACAGATATCAACCATTAAGAGGTTACAGCCAAGACTGAAATCATTAAGTTTTATGTTGCGTTATGAAGAATTAGTACAAGACGTGAAACCAGACATTGTAGCTGGTACTGCAGCCTGCGAAGAGGTGAAGAGTAGCAAGAAGTTTGCGAAAATTCTCGAATTAATTCTGTTACTTGGAAATTATATGAATTCTGGTTCGAAAAACGGTGAAGCTTTCGGCTTTGAAATTAGTTTTCTTACAAAGGTGCGAATCTTTCCGTCGTTATAAATCCAAAACGTTTGTGTCCTTTAAAATTAACAATATCAATTTTATTTTAGCTTACGAGTACGAAAGACGTAGATAATAAACAGACCCTCATGCATTATTTGGTAAATACGATAGAAAGAAAATTCCCTGAGTGTGTAAGCTTCTCTGAGGAATTGGCCCACGTCGACAGAGCAAGTCGTGTCTCGTTGGAACAAATACAAGGCACACTTCGTCAAATGGATGCAAACTTGCGCAATCTTGAGCAGGACCTTGCGAATTCAAAAGTTCCGCAAAGTAACGAAGACAAGTTCGTCGAAGTTATGACTGTATCCTTGACTTATGGACTCTATATCTTCCACGTTAATTAATCATTGAATTTTCTTTGAAAAATATTAATATATAAAAATTTGTTTTCCTTAATTTAATATCTTACAGCCATTCGCTAAGAAAGCTAGAGAGTCGTATGAGGTCATGCAAAATATGTTCAAGAATATGGACAGTCTCTACACGGACATTTCGGAATTCTTTGCTTTCGATAAGCAAAAATATACTATCGAAGAATTCTTTACTGATATTAAAACTTTTAAAGACAACTTCATGGTAAAGTCAGCTATTGTTTCATGCTAATAGCTTTTTTTCAACAATTTAGATGATAGTAATATTAGGATTCTTGACTAATGTCCTGTTGTGTACTTTAGCAAGCACAAAAGGAAATAATGAAGATACGAGAAGGAGAAGAGAAGCAAAGAAGGGCTCGGGAAGCTCGGGAGAAAGCGGAAGCGGAACGTGCTGCTCGTGCAGAACGGAAACGTGCGTTAGTTGATATGAATGCTCATGAGACGCAGGAAGGTGTCATGGATAGTCTGATGGAAGCTCTTCAAACAGGATCTGCGTTTAGCAGGCCAGATCAAAGACGTAAACGACAGACGCGTGCCGCTGGCGGTAAGTTTATTATTTCATTTTATCAGTAAGGATTGCTTAATTATAGGAATGGCTGACAAATATTTAAGAAAGAGATGTATGGAAAATTGTTATACGTATTATCCTATAGTGCAGGTAATAATATGAGACTCATTTCGAAGTGAACAAGAGAATTCGAATTCAGTAAATGATTCGTTAATATTTTACACAGATTATAAAGTACAGAATCAATGCAGTGTAAACTTTTGATATTATTTTCTTTTCTAGAAATCGTTTAAAATGGGTTGTCAGGTAGGATGAGTTCTGTAAGTCACAATATTGAATGTGTGTCTAACCCAGTGTCCAAATTTGTCATATGAATTTGTTGAAAAGATATTTTTAAAATAATCGAACATTTCTCAGAACAGGTATTAACGAGCCAATAATTAATACTTTATAAAAATCGAATAACCTTTGTTATTTACAACTGAATTAATTTCGTAATGTTCCTTGGGATATCGTCTTATGTCTGTTAATCACCATATAAAACTTACGATACCTGGTAGATCTTTTATAGTTATTTGCCTTAAAAATATTGTGTGCGCGTGTACCTTAATAATAAATAATACAATAATTTAGCCTAGATATATATGATGTTTGTTCCAACTCGTTCAATATTTTTTCATAAAAGTAGCTTATAATGGCGCTCACTTTCATAAGTGATCCCCAAATATAATACTCTATACTATATACTTTGTAAGATACAATAAAATATAACTTTTCTTTTCAGAATAACAGCTTATCATTTTATTTTGCAGCAAAAAGAAGAGCACAACTGAACCGGAGTCGATCGCGTACTGGACTGGTTGGAACCGGTTTATTAGGAAGAGAATTATCCACGTAAGTGAGATTGATTTTGGAAAGAATTATTAAACGATAATTCGACATGATAAAATATCGCATTCAATAAACAACTATTGTTGCAGAGAGCTCCTGAGCTATTCATAGCGAATAAAAGATTCCTGACTCCGTCCTAACTTTGATGCTGTGATGTTTTACGCTTGAGTCAAGCAAGCGTTTCGAAAAAACGCTGAAGCGAAGGTGATCGAAATAGGTGTTTCCAATTGGACAGTGTCCAATGAACGCACAATCCGTCATTAGATTCCGATAATTGATATACCACCGTAGGCCTCTTATAAATATTTTCAGCTGCAATTAAGCCTTCAGTTCAATCGGATCTATCGAAGTCTTCCCTGTGTTTCGCCGAGTGTCTGCCCACTTTGAATCTTGTATGTAAGCGTTAAAAATTTATTTAGTAAGATTATTGCAAACGCTTTTTGTGTATTTGATGAAGGGTAAGCTATACTTTTCTTATGATATTGTAAAAGGTAGCTTGGAAGAATGCCAGTTATCTAAAGGAATAGTGTGCGAAGTACTAGCTTCTATATATAAATGCATATTTATACCAGTACTTGTATTCACGAGCGAATATTAATATTGTAAGTAGTTCTCAGCGAACGGCATGTTTTACTGAATGCGAATGAATGACAAGGATGTAGTTTAAGCTGAAATTCACAACGAGGGATAAGGTATATACGTATGTGGCTGTCGTAGCCGCTAGATATTAAGGATAGCATTGTTACTGAAAAGAATCAATCTTTTTCCATCTACTTTATTTAATTTTATTTTTTGTAAATTCTTTTATGATAACTTGCACTCTTTCTCCTTCCACATACTTTACACTTTTCTGACTAATGCGAAAGTTATGTATATAGTGCAATTTACCAGCAGGTGTTTATCCTGCGCTGGCACAAATGCCTTTATTTTTTAACGAGAGAGAGCCTTTTATATTTTTTATGAAAAGTAATTTTTTTCTTTGCATTCAGCTATAATCTTGACGGTCGCGGTTAGATTATGCAAGGCGATTAAATACAATTTTCTCGGTATAATGTATATGAACGCGCAACATGTCAATTGCTATTGCAAGCTGAATATGAACTGCCACGACTTGTTTCAGGCACGACTGTACTGATTAACTAAATTCGAATATATAAAAGTCTAATTACTAATACGATTTGTAATTGTCTTTTTTAAAAGAAAGATTGTAAATCTCATACTGCCAGATATACCTTATACACAATATCTCTATAACATCTGGTTATTGTGCCAAATTTAGTAGGAAAACAAAGTATTTGGTAGTGCTGTCAGTCAATCTATTAATTCATGAGTACAATATAAGCATGGCGTTTGAAAAAAAATTCGATACTGTTGTTCAAAAAAGAAAGAAGTGTATATAGAGCTTATTCGATTCTGTGAAAGTTTCTAGTATAAACTTACGATCGTGCCTACAATTTAATCTGTTGTAATAATAAATTTATTTTTTGAATCTCAAAACCAACTATTGTTTCTATTATAGTTGCTATGGGCGGCAAAAGAATATTGTATCTATAGTGTGAATATCAATTTAGAATAAATTATTAGAATACAATTAATTCACACGTTCATGGCGTTTTATCCTTTTGTTAATACCTGTCTACCTTATATATGTATGTATATATGTCGATAGTTATCGTCAGTATGATTTAATTTGAATTTACGACAGAAATTTGTTCTCAGAATTTCATTTGTAAATGATCTATTTGTGTAAACTTTTAGGAGAAATCGTAAGTAACGTATTATTTGTTGGATTTTAGCTCAATAATTATTAAACACTTGTTTCAATTCATGAAAGCTCTGATAAGTGATCGACCTATTGTGAAAAGCATAAAAAATGATATTAAATTCCGTATGATGGCAGCAGCTGTTTAAGCTATCGTCGTGTATGTGAGCATGTAACACAGTCAAACATAGTTTAGGCAATTTCATGGGCAATTTAACAATTTTTTAAATATGTGTGGCGTTGTTTTGCAATGGAGGCAGATGGAGAGTAGAGATGAGAGTTGAGATACTTGTTATGTATTGAAGTTGTTTTGAGTTGTGTATGCTTAAGAAAGAATAATTTGTTGATTTCATGAGAAGTATTGTTTGTATAATATAAATTGTGTAGAGGTACCAACATTTAGCGATGCTGTTCAACTGTGTTTGTGTAGAATATGAAGTTTATTATGTGACGTAGAACGTTGATAAACAGTGATCAGTGAATTAGTTGCAAACAAACGGTGAGAGATTAATTTCTCTGAATCAGGACTCAAAATGCAACAAGAGGGAACGCCAAGATTCTTGAAATTTCACCAAGGAAGCGTCAGGGGTGTTGCTTTTAGTCCACGGGTATTATGTCACTATAATGGGAAATATTTATTTTTAGCATTACCAATCTAATCACCATTTAGTTAGAATAAATTTTATTCGTTACCCAATAAAAATATTGTCATGCTTTAATAATTAGATTGTGCGACCATTATACAGTGGTTTGTTGTATACTATTTTCTGACACTATACTCAGTGTGCATAATCCAATCTTTTGTTTTCAGGACAGGTATTTGTTTTGTTCAGGAGGGTACGATGGCAAGGTTAATCTTTATTCTGCACTGCGCATGGAGTGGCTACTGGACTACCAGATTGAATTGATGCCGCAGATGAACAATGTCAACGCAGTTCGTTTTACTTCGGATGGCTCCAGGGTGTGCTTAGAGTCTCATTGTATCGATATACTAATCTAGAACATCAAGTTCAGAGTTAAAATCATAGCGTCGAGACTATAAACATTAAGATTTTATAATTGTAAGTTCGATATACAAGGTGCTATAAAGTCTGGTTCTTTGGCTATTGAACACTAATTTATGAATTAATGCTATGATATTCCTGATTATTACTAGATATTATGTCTTAGTTACAATGATCTATAATGATGCTTCATTGTTATATTCTTTATGTACCATTTTCCTGAAGATATCTTAACCGATTCTCAATGCTTCAGATCGTGGCTGCTACAAATGCACGAAGGTTAGTAGTGATTGACGTTGAAACAGGAGATCGACTGTTGGCCTACGATAACTGCGCTTTCAGTGGTAGAGACAGAACAGGCCTAGCCACTGATCCTTCTGGACCAAATTTGGCAATATCAGTTGCTGTTAATGGTAAAGGCCTTACTCTGGTGGACTTGCGGATGCCATTACCTCTTGATTATGTAAATGATGTATGTCTGTAGATAAAAACTATTATTATACATATATTTTCTATGTCAACTAATGCGTTAGCGCATCAGTCATTGTGTTTGACACATACATTACAATCCGTTTATTAGAACATTATTTAAGAATATTTTCCAGTTCTTGCAAAATACTAACGGTCGATTGTTTGCCATTTGTAGCTGCATGGTTCGATTATAAGAGACATATGTTTTGTACCTTCGTCATGGCCTTGGCAGAATTCAATTTTAACCGGAAGTTCTGATGGTACCTGTAAAGTGTCCTCTCCTGATGGACGTGTGCTACATGCATTCCAAACTGGACACGCAGTAAACACTGTATGCATCACTCCAGAACCCTTTACTCGTAACGCTGCAGATGGATTTTGCAGTAAGTGTCATAGTTTCAAAATATAATATTTTACATCACATGTTACTATTGAGAGTATACGAGAGAGTTTAGTTTCCTTTGACAGATCTGACTATTCATTGAGGTCAACTTCCTGTAATACATAGCATATGCTTGAAGAACAATTTCATCCGTTTATAAGACTCAATGACACTTCCGGTATTTCACGTTCAGTGATTAACTTCTATTGCAAAAAATTTACAACTTTGTTGAACATTAGTATTCCTTTTAATAAATCCCTTTTTCTTATTCGATTTAAATATACTTTAATAATAACTGTATTAATATGATTTTACCGACCGTCATAAAAATGTGCATTATATTTAATTAAAAGGCTTGATAATGAGTGGTGGGGATCTTGTCTCGTCATATGTACCAGACTCTGGTGTACAAGAATTTCTTAAGGAACACAAAGATTCTCCTATTTGGAAACTGAGATATACTTCAAATGGCAGCACGTTGTATTCTGTATGCGATGGAGGTATTTTAAGAAGGTACAGAAGGTATCCTGATCACCACGAATATCTTGGTGAAGTTTATCGACATAGGGGAGATATTCAGGACTTGGATGTATCACCGTATGACGAATGTATCCTTTTGCGTGGTACCTTCATTATTATGCATATAATAGATATACGTACTATTAAATTGATATAAACGATCCTTAAGTTAAGTACTAGACATTATTACCGCTTCTAAGGATCGCAGTGTTGGAGTGCTTCTTCTGGGTTCACCAAATCACGGTTTCACTGAGTACATAGATTTGACATGATACTATAATTATCGGATTCCGTCCCAAAATTTGTTTTACAATGGGTAGTACGCATTAAGCGTATTAATACTGCATGTTATGTAATTAATTAGATTAACTGATCGGTATAGAGTGGCTGCACCGATGATAGCAACTCGTGTTAATTTTACGAATTGAATAATTGTTAAAATCTCTTATAATGCCTTACACACGACTTCTTGAGTGTATGGCGTATTTATATTTTGTACAAAGTAAAAGAATTTTTACTATATAACATTACTTGATTGTTCTCGGGATTTGTGGATGTGTTAGGTAACATCATACTTCGACCTTACATGATAATGATAATTAATCTCTATTTGATTTCTAAATATAACTTTCTAAAATTCTAGCTTTACACAAACAAAACTTCAGAAAATCTGATACAACATTTCTATTGATTTCGTTTGGGGATTGATTTTTCATTATTCTGAATATTATTTATATTTATTTTAAACTGTCAAGAATGTTTTTTTTACTTGTTCTCAACGATGAAAATATTTCATTCTACAAATAATAATACAAGTGTACTGTTCAGTATTTAAGTTGATAAATAATTTGTTGCAGTTTCATTAAGTGTATTTAATGAAAACATGTTGCACCATTTAAAACGTGCTTAGTAATTTGCAGTATCTAGTTCAATGTCGAAAACAATTATGACAATCAAAGAAAAAAGTAAGTAAGTAAATGATAACTATTTTCTTGGCGGACACTTTCTCTTGAAATTATTCTCCTATGCAAAGATAAGTAAAAACTAGAAAGTGCTTAATGTTTTATTTTGGGGCAAAAAGAAATGCGCTAAAGCTGGTTCAGTTACTGTTTACTGCCAGAATTCTATTATTTACCATATTTTTGTTCTTAAACAATGTACAATCACGGTAATAAATTCATAAAGCAAAACAATCCGAAAAATTGTATTGCACAGTATTTTATGTATTTAAACCTGAGCCATATGAAAGTCTATCATAAAATAATTGTCCATATATGAATGATGTATATGAGTAAAATTGATCAACGAAATGTACATAAACGTAGTTGGAAAAATGTCGACAAAAATGTACTCAAATTTTGTCTTGCTCAAACGTTTATTCTCAGTTCTTTACCAACGACTGTTTTAAAATCATGTTCTTAAATAATTTACTTTTTATTGCAGTTTATGTGGTATATATACTGTGTTCGGAAGAACTTTTTAATCTACGTGAGGAAGTAGTTACGCGCCTATCGCTGACTTATAATGACATGCTGTAGATAGGGGTACTATAGTCTGGTTTTTGTTCATCATGCAAAGGTAAATGAACTTGCCATGCTTTAAATATAATGAGAATATTTATTGCGGTAACACCTGGCAAGCAGGATGATTTAAAAATTCTTAGCAATCGGCAACACTGTCGTATGCGGTCTACCTCTTTTTTCGGCATACACAAACAAAAAGCATAGTAATTTTGCACCTGCAATACTAGTTGTTTCGTGTTAAAAGTTTAGAATTATTTCATTAATTCTGACGGCTATTTTATGAATTTCATAATGAAAGTTTGATAAAGCATTTTATAACATTAAATAGAAAAGTACTCATTTAATATGCTCTTCTGTTTCAACGTTTGAAAAAGTTCCTTTTACACTGTCTTAAAATAATACTTAGAAAAGTTCTTAAATTTTACTAAATTCTATCCCCTCTATCACTCAGTTACGCAGCAGGAAGTTATATTAGTGCGAGACTTATAATATGTGTCATTATCGCCTTTACTTCCAGTTGCGTTCTGGATACTACTGCGGAACTATTAGTATCGTATGGGAGTGCAAGTGGTACGTTAAGTGTATTGAATGAAAATTAATTTTAAAGAAATTGAAGCACGCCAATCGATTTCTTGCGAGTATTATCCGAAAATTTAAAATCGATGATTGAATTAGCCGTGGATCGCTACTGAATTCATGTAACATGTGCTATTACTCCAATCTGCATAAAGCGTGTTTAAAGAAGTGCTGAAAAATAATATTTAAAACTAATACAATACGAATTTGAACGTTTAATCATATTAATAAAAAAGCAAAAATCTCAGAAATAAAGTATTTCAAATTCTAGATATTCCTTGTAGCTCAAGAACGCCGCTGGCGTTGCTTTGTAAAAGAAAAACATCAGAAAGCTTCTCCCCTTACCTGTCTTAAGAAAAAAAGCACATGTCTTAAGTGTATTTTCAAGAGCATCGCCAGACTTTATGTATACGTGTAGTAATTACCTTTTGGTACTTAAAAAGAAATGTATGTCTGATAATATAAATAATTAATCTTATACAAATCGTAGCATCTCGAACTTAGATCGATAGTCGTCGATCCGTTTATACTGATATGGGAAGCACGTAATTGTCGGTCATTATAAATTTATGATAAACCTCATAGGCCAAGGCCGTGGGTGTAAATTTACATGGTTATTAAGACATGACATAAGTTAATGAAAGAGTAATGAATCAAGTTAATCAACACCCTGGGACATGTTAAAGTCTCTCAATAGTTGAAAGCCTTGCCGTCGTGGCAACAGTGGTGATGGTGATTGTGGTGGTGATTAAGTTCTTGATAATGAGGATGGTTTACTATAATTAGAAACCGAGGTAATGAACAAGACCAGTAAGGTCGCACTATCGTATTCTATAGTGCACCTAATAATTAGACTAGCTTAGGAATTATTATTTATTTCCGTTATGCATGATTAAACACAAAATTAATATATTCTTTATCCTACGTTTCAAGTCAAAATTGTTTGTGCTGACATCCAATTCTAAATTTCTAATTTCAGTGATCTACTTGCAATTAGTTCCTGTTATTGATTCAAGTCAAGTTTGCTTTATTGAATAAGTGCTGAGAGGACGTTCTCATTAGAGTATATTGGTAATTAATGTCTTGTTATACTTTCTCATAAGCTTTCCCTATACTTGAATAATAAAATACCAGCTGTGTAAGGATTTGAACAAGCGTAAAACAAAGCCTACCTAATCTAACTTGAAATTTTTTTGTTCCAATTCTGATTAACTTCATACTTCTTAAGAATTTTCTTTCTATTTACATATTCTACTATGTAATAAACTTTGTAATTAAATTATTGTACTATTGTGCGATTGTATGTCGCCAACTGGTATTCAAGTGTTAAGAGTTCAATCTGCACAAAGATATAATTGTCACAAATGCAATAGCCTTTAATTCCATTGTTTCTTAACCTTCAACAATAGTGAACTTTATGGAGCTTTCATTGCGGTAACCTAAAAGAGAAAGGAATTATGAGAAACACTATTTTGCACGAAGAGAAAAAATATATCATTTTCGACTTACCTTAACACGTGTTACGATAAGAACAATGATGAAGTGATACCATGCTACTTTTTCTCAACGTGTCATAATACGCAGGTGTGAAAAATATTTCGTGATGAATCCTAATAAAAATACCCAAATATCATCCACGTCTCAATGGATTCAAAACTCAATGGTAAACTTTAATCTCACTCTCGTTCCCCGTAATGGCATAATGAATTTTAACGTAATTCCGACAAAGGGACATCCGGACGTGAGTTATCGCGTGAAGTGCGTAAACGTCGAGAGCGAACGTGTTTTTCGTGACATATCAATCACGCAGCAGTCATCGAACAGGACGCAAAATGTCGATGTCTGTGAAAATTTATTTCCAACAGCACGCAAGAGAAGTATGCGTAATTTAATAAGACAGACATTCGATACTCCAGATTTTATGGAATTGAATAAGAAGCCTATACGTCGAGTGGATAAGAATGATCAAGTCAATTCCGATATTGTAATAGATAAAGGATTTAGGTCAAAATACGAGAATCGTAATTTACCTGTAGTAAATTCCAGTAACAAGTTGGGAGAGGATACAAGAATTTTGAGAGGTTATAAGGTAATTGAACAGTTTTCGAAAATTTGTCTAAAAAACATTTTTTGTTTAATTTATCACTATTTAATTAATGTCACACACACATGCATATATGTACATATATCGCTCTCAGGAGTATCCTCAACCATTGGTGAAGACTACGAAGAATAACGAAGTGATGATCATATCCCTAGTTGATCAGTTACTGATGGACATTTATGGTCTTCACGGTAGCGAGAAAGGACGCTCGGGAAGTGAGTCGACGGCTTCGTCCTTCACAGCTAAACCTTGCCATCCTCACTTGCAAAGAGCACGTCTCTTGTTGAAACGTAAGAAAATATAAGTATAATAAAAAGATATTATTCTATAATGTAACCCTTTAAAAATCGAACGTTACGAATAGTTATTTTTAATTTAAAAGAGCTGTGAGGTTGGATGGAAGAAGGGCAGGGTAGGGGGAGCAGACGGTTAAAATATGTATGTTCTTTTAAAAAATTATTTCTGTGACAATTAAATCCTACGATTTTGTTCAGAAAGTACGTCAACCCCTAAACTTTGATGTATCTCGGTCTTGCCACAGAGTGGTGAGAGCGTCGGTTCTTAAAGGGTTAATTATTGCGGCTCTTAACAATTTTTTTCCCCGGGTGTGACCACGGCTTATAAATCTGCAATATTTATAATGTTGCTTCATAACGCAGAAAAAAATTGCTTTGAGAACTTTTCTATGGTCTCTGCCTTGAGGATTTTACTTCGCAGAGAAAAAGAAATGATATACGGGAATAATGCAAGAAAAATACGCGTCGTTATCACACCTGAATCACGAAACACTTGTGAGCCACTTCTTGGTGGCTTCGTAATTTGTAGCTTTTCAAGCTACTTTCTAGCCATCCTTCGTTTCCTTTTTCTCTTGTATTTTATTTGTTCGTCTGTCAAGGTTTTCTATTTGAGTGTATGTACACGACAGACGACTGGCTTTCAAAGAGAATGAAGTTGTACTCGATCCATTATAAAAATATGTATGTACACAGATGCAATATGTGCTGTTCATATTTCATAGCATATATATATATATATTTACAAATGTCAATAATAAATGGCGCGCACAATGGAAGGTACGCGCTTGCGAGTCTTCAATATTGGAAGCCTTTTGTATAGCAAAGCATCATATACACGTATATTTATGTATAGAATTATCCAGGACAAACGCACCAACTGAAATTAGTATTGTGTATTTAAGTGAAGAGAGTATCTTCTGACGTCTTAGAGGCCATTTTATTAAATCTTTTTGGAGATTTATATAAGGCTAGGACTCGTATGAGCCTCTCAGCAGCCGAGGAATAAAGTAAACCAATTTTTTGGGATCGTGAAAATGATGATATAAAAATCTCCAAAGAGATTTAATTAAATCGCCTTTAAGACGTCAACTCTTTTCACTTAACTACACAATAATTATTGAAGGTCGACATTTCTTAAAATCATTGAATATAGTATGTTCATTTTATTTTTATAGCAGAACCAACTGCAGCTGGTGCATTTTGTATTGACTCACCCTATATTGTAATAATTTACATACATACAGATTATCATTTGTATAAATCGTGTTTTTGTCTTCTAAGTCAATTAAAATATCTTTTTATTGCTCTTTTCAATTTGTTTTATATTTCGTCGGCTCTGTATTGATATTTTATAGAATTCTGTTACCGTTCACTATTGTTTCTAGGTAATTTTATTCCTGAATATCTTCAGACGGTATTGGATTACTCTCTGGTCGCGAAATCCAGACTTGATTTGACTGACAGTAAAAATTTCGAGATACTTTTGTTCGTGTTGATTTTATACTTTTGGAATATATAAATAAAGTTGACGCATGCAATTATTTGTAGTCGAATATAGAAAAAAATTATGTTCAATAAGAACGTGTATTAAAATGCCTAGAAGGGAAAGCGGAGGGAAAAGAATAGTCATGGAGAAAAAAGCTGGAGGGAAAGCTGTTTAAGTGGGAGTCATTGGTAGATATTTTGGTTGAGCTGGTGACAAAGAGTCATAAAAACGGGTATAAGTGCGTGGGGCGTCTGAGACCCACCCAGCTTACAATTAGTGCTTTTCAAATGGAGAGTGAAATTGCGCAACCATTCCTGGGTTAAAGGTAGACAGGCTACATAGGAATGTAAGCGTACTATAACTCTTAGTTACGATACTGGCAGTATCTGGTTAACTTATGCTTTGTTTTTTATCTACATTCACTTCAATGGCAGGGGTGGGTTTAGTTATTAAAGTTGACTACGAAGGTTATAGGTTGCTGTGGTGGGTTAGGATAGGTTGGAATGGTTAGTGACCGTAATGGGTTAGATTAGCCTGGTATAGGTTAGAAAATGGGTAATAAAAATTAAAAGATTTTTTGAAAGCATTTGGTCATGTGATTAGACTCAGGAAAGCTGTTAGTGTTATTGAACATATTAAAACGTACTGTATATAGTAAGCATACATTTGTTTCTATCAGGTTCTTGTGACCTTTTTTCCACGGTTATATTTCTCACAGCATTTCTTCCTACGCCCATTTCTAGCAGGTGCAAAGCTTACAGTTGTAAAATTTCTATTTTTCGATTGCTATGGGATTTTCATGTGCGTACAGAAATTTATAGTATATCGTGATGGTATGTATAGGGTCGGTAGGAAAAGTACTGGCACATTCCGTTCTTTGCATGTCTTTTGGCTTCTGTGAAGTAATTTTAAAAAATGAGGTATGCGTATACCTTCTTTTACTTTATGTAAAAAATTCAATTTTTGCCCGAAGTTTCCAGTTCGCTTTTACGAAAATTTAATGGATGATGAATGGGAAAAATGGATTTTAAACACATTTATTCTAGAATTGTTAAGTAACGAGGTATTGAGGGTGCACAGAAAATATTCGCTTAAATAGAAGGAATGTCCAGTGTAGATTAAAGCGAAAGGAATATCGTGAAAGTTTTGTTTACCGAGAAAAATAATTTGCACGTATTATCATCGTATTTACACAGAATAATTAAAAGTGAATTTTTAGATGCATGTAAAAAAGAAAATTAACGTCTTTCGGTAAATTTTTTGATTTTTTAAATAATTCAAACATTTTACATCACTTGCACTTATGAAACTCAACCGAATGTCTTGAGTGGGCATATAGTACTTTAATATACAACAATATAATGTTATATAATTTTACTAAACATTTGTATATCTATATAAGATGGAAGATTTCACGTGAAAAAAATATCTACCAATGAGTGCAGACGAGACAGTCAGGTGACCTCATTGACTTCGAGGAGAAGGATCTTGCACAGACTTCAAGTATCACCCTTTCTCACTAGACGAAGTACTTGTTTTATCTCCCTCTACAGCAAACCCCTTCAATTTAGCTACTTAGAAGCGTATGTATATATACACCTGACTATATATTAAAGTTAATATATAGTACAATAATATTAAAGTTGGCCTTATGCTGCTACGAATATGCTATCCCGTGCAGTGATACTGATTTTCTTTGGTGTAACGTATTTACGCGAAATCATCTGTTTGCCGTAAAAAAACAATGTACGTAACACAATAATAATTATAATGACGTATCATTAACGTGACAATACAATATTTTTCGACCTGTATTTTCGTCGGCAGTTGAAATATTGTATGAAAAAAAAAAAAAAAAAAAACGGTTCTTTTTCATGAATAATTTATTATCCATCCCTCCCCAACCCCCCATCCACTACTACGCTTGATTAAGTATTAACAAACGTTCGTTGAAAAACAAAAGATAAAAGGTCTGTGGAATTTGTATCTTTATAAAATATTTTTATTCTTTGTGTGGAAATACTGAAAACGCGTGGATATTATTCAGAAAGCACATTTTGGTTGCTGCTAATTGTACGAGAGACACAGTATGAAAGTATGGCGTGTGGTATTGGCATTATTGGAGATATAAATAAAATAGGTTTTTTTTTGTTGCGATCTGCTTTATTTTCACATGTTATAGATTTATTCAACAATAGTAGGATATTATTTACTCGTGTTAGAGCAGAACCTTTGATTAAACCACCTTTTTCAAGTTATTTTCTTATCATTCCATTTTATTTATGAAAACCCGTGATGCAGTTTTCCTAGTGCAGAACAAATATGACGCAAAGCTTTAGCTTGGATCGAGAGCTTGGATTATACATACAGGAGTGGCGTATGTGTCCAAGCGTTTTATTTGGTTTAACGTTCGCACAGAAGTAAACTTTTAAACAAATATATAAATAAGCTTCTAGTGTCGTGTGGTAGAATTATCCTTAAGTTTGGTTATACGTGTTGTTTATGTGAATATAGGAGACTCCGTGTAATTGTAAGGGCGTCGTGGTCTTATTGAGTTACATAGAAAGTGCTGAAAATTTGTTTGACATCTTCCTATATAGAGATTCCTGGGAAGTAACGTTTCCGTTATATGTTTTTACCAGAAAAAAAAACCCCCATCAAAAATGTTTTTCAGGAATACACATCAAATTATAGGATATGAGGGTCGTGAAATTTGGTATTCAATAGAACGTTGAGCATGTTATAACCTAAAAATGAAAAATTGAAATTTGCAACAGTGCCACTAGAAATTCCTATGATAACGGAGTGCAGGCGTTTCTGCAAAAATGTATTATTATTTATATATGCCACTTCGATATGGAATAATTGACAAAACAGGGTGGTGGGGAGGAACGCAATTTTTTTGACGTGTAACATAGTAGAAATCGCACGTATCATACGCCCTGCAATTCTTACTTATTTGTTAACAAAAATATTTGTTAACCTAACCTAACAAAAATACTGTATCCCTGATTGTATAATATCAACGAAACTGCATGCACTTTTAAAAAAAATGAATTTCGTCTTATTTATAACTTTTATTATTGGAGATTGAATGGTGACTATCGAAGCTTTGCAGTAACTGTAAAGGGGAACTCGAGTGCAACGTAAATATACAGGGTGTTTAAGAAGTAGTGATCCAATTGAAAAACAAGTGATATGTGTGTAGAAAATAATAGAAAATCAACAAGTAATTTTGTTCAATTGGAGCGTCTTTTTTAGAATAATTACAGTCAAAGTTCGTTCGTTCGTTCGCGCAGCCTATTTGAGTTAAAGGGCTCAGTTACTGAAGAGTGAATTTTCACCATAATTGGCTTCCCCCATCACTCGATAAACAGCCAATGGCGAGGCGGCGTAAAATGACAAGGTTGTCTCATTGCTACCAATAAAAGTAGTATTTTGACTGAGGTTATTATTGTTCATTAACAATAACGTTGTTGAGTTTAACGAGAGTATCCGAGAGCAATTGATTCGCGATAAAGAAAATACATTTAACAGCGCATCGATTATCGATGCACCAGTAAGATTGAAGGACTCTAGGATGAAAAGAAAAAAATATACATGTATCTCACTTGGTACGGTAACTCTATTGGGCCTTCGGGAACTCAAATATATTGCTGATACACGCACGTTAAAATTATAGTATATCGTCCTGACACTATGCTGCCTTCATACCTTGTTATAAAATAAACCATATCAATTTCTCTTTGACACGATACGCTAATGTTGATCCTATTTATCATTTTAATGTAGATGAAACGGAACTACGTATCTTGGTGAGAATTTTGCAAGGACACGTCAACCATGCCGGAGGATTACTGATACGACAGCTGCGTCGACGAGATTATCTTCTTGCAAAGCGCGACAAGCTATACGACGTCATAACGGCTCATCTTCAGGCGCGCAGTGAAAAAAGAAGTAAGCACAGCAGACTCTTAACTTTGTATACTGCACTTTATATTCCCTTAGCCTGCTCCACGTTACACGAACCCCGTCTCAATTGAAAGTATGCAAATAGTATATTATTGAGTATGCCAATAATTTAATATTATATGTAGATACTCATAAGAGTATCGAAGTATAATAAGATTTTTTATTCAGATTAAAATTAAAATTTTTCGATGGGCACGAACAATATTTAATTCGACGTCATATATGATATTTTATAGAAATTATGGTATCTTTAAAGAACTGGATATTTCACTTTAGTCAAGGTGAATGTATGCTCAATTATATTTTGTAGTATATTCGTTGACGCGACCATGTGTATTTATTTATGGCAGTATGGTACATTACAATGCTAATATAATGGGTCGACCATGTACTAATATTTATATGGTGCAGTACGTGCGAGAAATTATATTAACCCGTATGGAAAATATGACCCAAAAGCCATTGAAGAGCTTTTCTTACAGCTGCAAATTGAATTTCGAAATTTTCCAATCGCCAACATAACATTCTTTTATGGGAGATCGTTATGGTAAGGTAGTACTCATTGTTGTAGTTCTTTATTATTCGTATTAAATTATACAGGCCAGTTTTTCGTGTCGTAAAACAATTAATGAGCTGTTAACGTTGGCTTAACAAAACTATTGTCATTTATTTCATATAAAAAAAATCAATCTCAAAGAGTAACACAGGTGGGTATGGAAAATAGACGAAATAGAATTTAAACGTTTTGAATCCCCTTAAAATGGGATGTATTAACTCATGAAAAAATAAATTACTTATTATTTATGAAAACATAAAACAAAAAAACGGCTATTTCAAAAAATATTATTACGCAAGTGCATTAAATTTATGTGGTCTGTCACGCATATTTTATTGTATATTAAATTTATGTTTTATGATCATCAGTGCTTTAGTATCGACATAATCTGAAAAAAGGCCATGACGTCACTGTTTCTAGAACAATTGATACTCCGACACGGATCGTTGTGCTTTCGTTTTATCTTGGTCTGTTGGGATTTATGTATGCAAACGTTATGTTTAGGAAATTGCGCGTGGTTATATGTATACAACGTCGCATTCACATCGATGCGACGAATGAACATCGTCGGATGTTGGTTGAAGAAATACAAAATTTATATCGAAATAAAACAAAATAAAGGTAGCATTTAAAACTTATGACGGAAATTATTTTGTACGGATGTTATATGCATCAGTCATTACTACTTCAGTGATACGTTGGCGATTACGTCACAGTGGAATAATTTTTTTACGAGTTGACAATTATAATATTCGATTTTTTTTTTACATATTCATCGACTATAATAATTTTGATTATATAAAATGATGCATACATTTTACTATATATTAAATAGTTGGTATACATATGAAAGGCGCAGGGAAAGTATTGCACAAATGAATAGTAAGAGAATATAATATTTTAATAATATTGTAATATTTTAATCAAAGGTGACAAGTAATGCTCATTGTTAAAGGGATATGAGTCGTAGAATAAAATCGAGGTCCCATTAGCGATCGAGTGAACTATGCAGAATAAAATAAGGAGTCATTAAAATTTTACTTTATAATTCATCCGTAATTTACAAGGGAGTTTTCCTCCATCCTAATCACACGGTGTTATCATCGATGTTATTAAACTTTTCATTCAAATTGGAATGCAAAAATTACATAATTCATAATTGCGATAAAGAACAACGTAAATACGAATATACATAATTATAATATAGTGAGTTGCACAACGAAGGACAGAATAGTCCAAAATCCTAATTTTAGTGATGCGAAAAGGAGAACAAAATTTTCGTATAAAAATTATTTTTGATATAAAAATATATCACAGCCATACTCGGGTAATTTGAAAATCTATTTAACAACTTACTTTCGGTTTTTTTTTTTTTTTCTGAAACAGGAAAAGATCACGATTTTCTAGTAGTTACTCTCACTCCTTTCAAGAAAATTCATGTTTTCGAGAAAGTCTTAGTCACATTTTTTTTAGCTCTTAACCAACATCACCTGTCAACGTTATAGAGTAGCAAGAAGAAATTCGCGATTCGCCTGACATTGAAGTTGATAAAGTGATGCGCAGCTTGGACCCACGAGTACGGAAAAAGTAATTAAGAGAGAGTTAAAAAAAGGAAATATCCTAAAGTGACGTAGTTACGTAATTACAAAGATATCGAATGTTCAATAAAGTGGAATTCTTAAGGCAAGTTCAATTGTCAGTGGGGTATTGATCAATATGGTATTGGATGTTTGCGAGTACTAGAACTCACCAATATATCATATATATGTATACACGTGCAGGTAGGATGTGCACAGAGCCATACACGCATCATTTAAATCTGATTGTAAACGTATCCGAATGGTCGCTTCGTCAAAGGGAAGAGGCTTAAGCGCTTTCGTTCTCCTTTATATAGCAGATGATAAATATATAAAAATCCACTTTCCGCTTCGTTTGACTTTTCGCTTTCGCTTCGAAAAGTTCCATACAGACGTTAATGTCATTTCTTTTTTTCACTTTGCAATTGTCGCCTTAGACGTTTCACTAAAAGCATTGCGTTTGCTTTTTAAGAATTTCGATTTGACTCAATTCTTAGAGAATCATTATTCAAAATATTCCATGCTCGCCTTAAGCCCACGGGATAGATACGTTATTTCAATGTACCTTTATCACAAGTTTTAAACGCAGGACCAGTCACGTGTTTCAGATAATAGCGGCGGGAAGTACAAATATCATTAGGAAAGCGTGCAAAAAGATCATTTGTAGTACCAGCATTTATAGTTTCGAAACTTTTCAGAAGCGAGATTTAATGGCGGTAAGTCTATAATTGTGGGGTTAATGCTGATCTATGAGAATGACTGGCTCCTGTGGAATGGAGGCAGACACGGACATTGTATAACCGCAATATTTTCTCATTATAGCGTCTTGCATTTTCATGGTAACGAGGACATTGTTATCGTATTATTTCCGCTTCTTGGAAATTTTTTTTAATTTTTTTTTTCATTTTAATAAAAAAGCGAAAAAAGCTAACGTTTCTCTTGGCTTCGGAATTGCCTTGGCTCCTGTATTGTGTCATATAATTGCCTGGCTGGGTATATGACACATTTCTTTCACATGCCGTCCATATACATCCTGAGCTAGTCTCTTTGTAATTTAACCTTTAATTGGATACTAGATATCTGGTAAACGTACTAAAGATATAATGGAAACTGGCTGTTTAATTGTTTCAATCAAAGAGTTTATTTTAATTGCCTTTAAACTGCATTAGATTCAATTTCCGTTCCATGTGAAATGCATGGATTTGTATCGACCATAATACAGACTGGCGATGAAGTTCGTGGATGAACATTTGAAACGTGGTAAAATTGGGGCCCCCGCATTGCGGATTTAAACCCGCACTAGTTACGTTACTGCTACTGTCGTCGCACCCAAATTAGCTGATGTAGCCAGACTTGCCATGCCGCATCGCCATATTCCTTCTCATCGTAAATACCATATCCTGGTAAGGAATTTTAAAGAAATTTTATACGGCTATCAAGTGGATCGTACTACAGAATTTTTTTTACGTGACCTTGAACCATTTAAAGTTTTTGATTCGCTTGACACCGACGTTACGTCATTGTACGGAGACTATAAAGAAAATTCTGCGACAAAGTTACTCCGCTACATTCACCTTGCAATTTCCTTCAGTCGGTCTTTCTAGCTCACGAGACTCTTGCGCCTGAGGTCACCTCGTTTCGAAAGGTCACCTCTAGGAACGAAAGAAAAAGGTAATTTTCGAGAATTTTTTTCAGGAAAACACTATTGGAATTATCGGGTTGGGTTTTTTTCTAGTTAAAAATATACACTTTTAAGAATGTTTTGAATTATTTTTTATTTAAAATATATTGCAAATTAACGGAGTATTTAAGTCGTCTACGAAGTACCGTAAAAAAATCTGCCATAGCGGTACCCAGTGGCGTTTCGTCAAAAATCATCTAAAACAAAAAATCAAACAGGATATTAAAATAGATACTATTATCTTGTCGTTGTCATAGCCGATTGAAAAAATATCGATTTTTGACAAAATTACGGACGGTTGAACTCAATGTAACCATTTTCATGTAAAAATTCGTTCGTATTTTGCCAAAAAAAAAAAAAAAACTAAAAATCGGGAAAAAAATCCTGACAAAGACTAGATAATTATGTATACAATGAGCACAAAAAATTCAAGTTAATCAGTTCAGTGGTTTCCGAGATATTTTAGGTACCGGTTTGAAAAACGTTGTTTTGAGAAAAATGCGTTTGAAAATTTTTCGATGGATAAATCATGAAATTTGTTCAACTTACACATAGTCATCGATAGTCATCGGTCCATAATATAGGTTCTCCGAAGTGGAAGGTACGCCCATATCGTCTAAATTTTGTTGTCGAAGCCGTAATCGCCCTTCTTTTGTTTGTTCTTGCGCACGTACTTCGGCTTGCGCTATACGGTGGTCATCTTCACATGCAGCGTACAGGTGTGCGTTCGGTCCAACAGAAATTCCCATCACGTTCATTATTTGTAATAATGACACGGCTCCATTATTGAATATGCACGCTGCTGTGTACGCAGCAATTTCAATAATTCTAGCCCCGCTGTGCATTGTTTTTGGAGCTATCTTCCAAACCAATTGGTTGAAACTTTCGTTGCTGTTCTGCGTATAGCCATCAACAGAGCGCTCCAATAACGTGTCCTTACTGAGGTCTTCGTATATCGATTTGATAACCTTCAAAACCGATTCCGGTAATGCCGAATAATCGTGATGAAAATCACGCAGTTCCCCTTTAGCTTTTGCTTTTGCTTGCACCACGACTTGGAGCTTCCGGGGCAATATTCATGTTGAGGCTTGCTGTCTGTGGAACTGTAATGATAACAAGTTGCCCATATCGCTTTCTTCATATTATCCTTAGAATCAGTGTGTCTTCGAAT